TCCGCCCTTATTGTTTCACAGATTAGTCATTGGCATATGAATGTGTCAGTCACATGGTCACACAGCCACTGAAAAAAATCATTGATTTTGGTGTTTTCATATGCCGAATTTATCCCAATTATACATTGTAGCTATCCCATTCCTTTATTTTTTTGGTTTCCAAATAGCCTTACACATCTGGATGTCCCTACACATGTTAAAACAGACCTTGATGGGAAAACAAATTGATCGTGCCGATAAACAAGCTTGAAAATCTTTGCTGTTTCCTTCATGGACGTTTTCTAGGAGTTTATGTTTTTCAAAATACAAGGTCTTTAACAAAAAATAACGTATACTTATTATCGTCGGATTAACACCAAATTTTCACAGCTTTAAGGTGACAGTGAGAGGAACTTGAATGTGTCCAGACAAACTATTTCATCGATTATTTACCAACGAGTTGTGGTTTGAGTTGGGGGCAATGCGACTAAAACAGTAATTGAAATTCAGCACACTATTTTTTAAAACGCGTTGCTTAAATAAAACTGACCAGACACATTCAATTTACCAGACTATTGAACAACTAGGAAAAGTGCAAAAAAAATACTTCTTATCGCCAGCATAAATGCGTAATTATTTTTTTTACAGAAAAAGTAATTTTTCACTTTTGGTTGAGTAACGCGTCGTAGAATGCAGATACGGGCATGCAAAATACACTGTGAAAAGCTGAAGTCTGGCGATTCTAAAAATATATACTTTCCTGGGTCTATTTGTAGTCATTTAGTCACAATTAGAAGATGAAAACAAGTATGCAAATAATAGTCCCGCTACCTTAAATATAACCACATAAAGAGGACCAAATTACCGAAATATTGTTTTAGACACAATTGCATCCGACATCACATAAAATGCGATGTGAAAACTGAGGATGGAGTCAGTAGTCAGGTCAGATGGCGACTGTAAACAATTGTGACACACGACGCAAGCTATTCCACATTTCGGAGATGGCCGTTACAAATTGGCACTAAAGACACAGAAAATGTTTTATTAAATATAAAAAATTGAGAAACAGATTGATAATTATAGCTTTTAACCGTCTATAGATGGCGCACAATGGCGGAAAGGAATGGAAATATTTGCCGGATTATTACTTCTGTGTCGATGTTTGACCGGATCACCGAAAAAAATGGTTCATCACTGCGCCGCATATAATACAGTTATTCCTGCTAAGAATGATCCTCTAACAGGATTTGTTTAAAAAAATAAAGCGTTCCGCGTTATAAAGAAGACAATTAAACACGAGTTCTGATTAGCTGCTGCTCCTACTAGATTTGCCTTGCATATAATGTTGAAAGATGTCTTAGAGGCGATACGTCCGGAATCAAAATGCGCTCTACAATGACCCTCTACAAACATTGCGTTTTAATCAGATTTGAATACACCTTTTTAAAAATCATTACGACATCACAGAAGCACCAAGTCGGGCGCGAACTATGAGAAAGTCAAAGTGATGTATAAATGTTATTTTCTTCATGTGGATAGAAACTATTAGGAAACGGACATCGCTGACATTGTAGATATATAGTCTATGTCTAATCAAAATACTTTCAACAAAACATGAATTCAAACAATATCCCAAATGTTGTTCATTTTCGGACAATGTGCACGACCGATCAAGTAAAACTAGATTTGCAAAGTATAAACTGAAGGGAGAAGGAGAGAAGGCAGCGAGGGGTTACCTCAGCTTATGTTTGGATGAACGAAACTGAACTATCTGTAATGAACTAATTTTTTGGGTACGACACTGACATGGAAAACCCGAATTACTTCGAAGCAGATAACATCAATGAGAGAAAGAGACGCATTTAAAGACTAACAGCTTTACCAAAATAACACCGATGACAAGATGTTGACAAGATGAAGAAGGAACCGAAAGATCAATATGAAGTGAACGACATCAGAAACACCATTGCACAAGAAACTGAATCAAGTACATCTATGAGAAGCACACGAATTACTGACGCTTTCGTGAGGACTATACGAGAGAAGAACAATAAGCTATTAGCATATTATACGAAAAAAAACCAGCTAAAGGTAACAAACACCGTGTATCACAGAGGTAAAACAGTATAACGAATGAGCGTAATAATTATGAAAACTACATGCAAGAATGAACGACGATGAACATTTTCAAAATCTTAGGACTATTGTATAGTATGTGTAACATAATGCATACTTCTTATTGTCGAATTTGTGAGCGTCATTTTGTTTTGAATTATATTTCATATGAACGCCCGTATTCTACGTCCTGAACTGATATTTAACAAATTTGTGTGGCCTTCCGGGCTTCATGATGGTAACCATTTCTTGGTAGACGTAATATTTGTAAAACACAGTTTCTGAAGTATTTTATGTTGAAGGTTTATGAGCACGGTTTATGATGGGAAGGATATTGCTCCTCCCCCAAATAGCCGTCAATTAATGTGCTGTTTTTAGAATTATTTTTATAGTAGGATTGTGTAAGAGAAGAAGGAGAGGAGGCGACAGCGAGGCGTTACCTTAGCTTACTGTTTGGCTGAATAAAGCTGTAATCCTGTAATGAAGCAATGAGTATTCTTTGGGGAATACACTGGCACATACACGTGTAAGAGTCACCTCACCTCGACCTACATTTCGCAGCACAAAGTTGATTATATCAGAACACAGAGCTCGGTACGCATATATTATTTATATTAGCAGACATGCATTTTAATACGTTTTTTATAGATGATATGAGAAACAAGAAAATAATCTGGAACGCAGTTTCCTCAAACGACATGTACACTACGCCACTTACTATTGCTGTGGCAACTATGTGACGTTTAAATCAGTAGCTGGTCCCGAGAACAATTTGAGTGTTTTTGATGTAACGGCAGCGAGGAGGAAGCTCATCAATCCCATTTTGAACGTTCACATCGGTTTGGTAAATTACATTATACACCCCCCCCCCAAAAAAAACTGCATAGATTTACAGTTTACATTACAAACCCAAGTAAATTGAATATTCCTACCACGGATGATACTTTATAGTACGAACTACAGTAAGAATAATGACTTGTCCCGGGGTAATCACTATAAATAACTTCATTTATGGGTTTATTTGGTGTGTTGACTACAAAATTGGAAGACACTTAAAGGGTGGTGGTAGTCGCGCAGCACGTGTTCGAATTTCATGTAAACAAACAATATATTTTATTCGCGTTGTATGCGTCGACCTATGAGTCCCATATCGAACAGGACGCGGCGCGACACCACCCCCTTTAAACCATGACGGACAATGTGGGTGTTATGACGTCACGAATTTATTGATAAATCACGTTTAATCAAGAGATTAAGACCCCTATAACGATGTTGTCCAATAATACAATACAACTGCAACACAGGTCATCCATGTATTTATCCTGAATTCTGTAGATTTGCTGAATGCCAACTCCCCATCGATTCGCCTGTAAACAGATCGACCATTCAGCGGTTGCACCGGTCTATAGTTATTGCTGAGGGGCACATTCTCTTCTCCTTCGAAGTTTGACATCAATGTGTTGAAATTACTGAACTGAAAGCGAATATATATTA